TAACTAAAACTGATAAGGTCGCCCTTTCTATATTACATGTCTCACATTTTTATGTACCATACTACTCTTTTGTTAGAAATGCGTTAGTTCTTATTTTTATCTAAAAAAAAAACATATTCCAAGGAAAATTTGTGTATTTTCAGTAAACGTCGTTCTTATTAATAACATTTAAACCCTGCCTTTGAACTCTCGAAAACTTCGGCTATAGTAATAAAATGAATGATTTAACGCAAGGCGAAAAACGAAATGAGTATTAGACTAAATAAAATATTATGAATTAATAATCATGATTGTCAGAATAAAGCCGAAATAGAATTAGGTTTGTTTGGAGGTCCGCTTGCCGTCTGGTGACTCGCGTTGAATATTTGAGAATGTTTGAAAACAGCGCTATATAAACACAATGCTTACGGGATTGGTTGTTGGTATGTTTATTTTGAGGCATTTAAAAAAAAATACCATGCTATTATAATTTTGCATTGATTTAAACTACCGTGGTTATTTTCATTGTCTTGATAAGTTAGTAAGATAAGTAAGTACACGGGTAAAATTAAAATAAATATTACTAACGTAATTACTAACGTCACACTTGTTCGTAAGAATACAACTTTGCTACCCAGATAACTATACAGATTTTAATATTACTTGTATATATTTCATAATATGTATTATAAACTACACTACCGAAATGAACTGAAAAAGAGGTAAACATAAATCCGTCACTGTTTAAGTTAGATACCGAAGGTATACTAAAAGTACGTTTATGGAATGTAAGAACCGCTTTTACTTAACTCTACGTCTCCAGAGAACCCGTCCTTCTAAAGTTCCGTCAAAAAGATAATGTGAAACAAGTAGATAAGATAAATAGAACATAACATACACTCTCACTAAGAAAACATACACTCGATAAACATAAGCCATAATTTGACGGGCCTGTTAGTCTAGTGGTTAGTGACCCTGACTGCTAAATCGCAGGTCGTTGGTTCGATTCCCACCCAGGACAGATATGGTGTGATGAGCACTGTCATTTGTTCTGTGTCTGGGTGTAATTTATTTATAATACGAGTATGTATCTATTTAAAAAAATTAAGTATCTTTATCAGCCGTCTGGTTATCATATACAGGCCAAGTTTGGGATCAGACGGTGTGTGAGATATATTATAATAACATCTTCTGGAGCAGTCGGGTAATAAAAAAACTAAATGTTATTTGTATTTGATTTCTTTTTACAGTTTGGCCACTTGCTGTCTCTGTCCACTTGATGGCTCTTGTGAAGTTGTGGTAGGGATTCACAAACATACCTACGTGATGTAATAGATAAGTAAAGAGTTTGCAAGAAAATTTATTGTTACTAACTACTACTACATGTTACTCTAATAAACGATTTATTTAATATTATTAGTTGCCTCTCCAATCTATTCGTGTGGTGACCCACGGACCCAGGACAAAAGCACTGCAAAGAGTAGGAAAACTTTTTTTATGGTATAAGGGGGTAAACGAGCAGGGACTAATCCCACCCACACGCCCACCACTGTAACTCCTGTACACCAGGATCCACAGCAGTGACCCACGAACACACCGAGTTATGACACTCGGGAAGAAATTAAACTGTCTTGGAACCCGCAACGAAATTAATCAGAAGAAAATTGGAGGAGTTGGAAATACAGTAAATCCACTTCCCTCCTTAGCAAAGCGGGAGACAAAATGAAGTAAAATGGGCATACACCCTTTTAAACAGGGAAGCACTACGGCCACAAATATTACGGGTCCTACGTGAGCTATGTTTGATTTCTATAATATGTATGGCAGAATCGCCTAAACGCACGGAAATTCACCCTAGTTGACACAAGATCCCCATAGTATACCGCCCCAGATGTCACCTGCAAGCTATTCAGCATTATATTACGTTCATTATACCAAAGACTACATTCCCAGAGGATATGATGAGCAGACTGTTCATAGTGAGAGTTAGGTGTTGAGCATTGACACAACGGTGACTCGACTAATTTAAATGAATAAAGCTTGCTCTTAAAGTTACCATGACCCGTAAGAAATTGAGCGACACAGTGATCCACCTCAAGCCATATCCTCGACAACCGTTCGCGAACAGACGGAAAGAATTGGTAAAGATGGCGCCCCTTGGATGATTCATCCCAGCGTTGTTGCCATTCGTCTATGAGGTCATTATAGACATCGGGCTGCTGTTGAAGCAATCGTAAACGCTGGGTAAACGAGCAGACGGGTCGCTTGATGGTTAGCAACTACCGCCGCCCATGGACACCTCCAACTCAAAAGTTACAAGTGCGCTGCTGCCTTTGGAGTCCCACCTGCTCGAGTCAGCGGGAGGGACTCGGTCTAATTTAGGCTCCGGTAACCTCATTTACTCAGTGAAAGGCAACAAAAAAAATCCTTTTTTTTTTTTTTTAACGTGTGGAAATCCCCTCGGACCGTCACCCCTCCGGGGTTTGCGGCGGGGTGGTGTGTCGGACTCGGACCGACTAAAACCACACGGTGTGCCACTCTGCCCCTGTAACAGGAGGGATCCGGGAACAGCTGTTGTTAAGACATCCGGACCCCTCCTAGCGCCAGCCCGCTCCTGGTGCGGGCTCCGTCTCAATGTGGATGTTCCTCTCTTTAGGCGACGTCCGGCACACGCGGACGCCGCCCCCTCGCGGCTGGCCAGCTAATGCGGGTGGAGGGGAAACCCACCCCGTCCACCCGCGGCCACACTCAGGGCGGCATGAGGCTGTGATAGGCGGGCCTCCGCCGCCCGGTTCGCCGGCGGCGGATCGGGTCCGAGTGGAGGTCGTCCTCCCGGGCCCTCTCCGCCGCCTCCTTCCGCGAGATTACTACCTCGCAGAAGGTTGCGACCGCGGTAAAACAACTGTCGCTACCGGCCATGGAGCGTACTACGGCCGGTAGCGAGAGATCCACTCCGATGACTGCAGTGAGGGCCCGGTGCTGCGCCGCCCATGCGGGGCAGACCGCCAGCGTGTGCTGGGCCGAGTCCTCACTGCAGTCGCAGTGGTGGCAGGCGGGACTCAGTTCCCTCCTAGCGACCGTGTGCAGGTACTTTCCGAAGCAACCGTGCCCGGAAAGCACCTGCGTCAGCCGGAAGGAAAGGGTCCCGTGCTGCCGCCCTGCCCACTCGGCGATGACCGGCTGGAGAGCCTCCACGGCGGCGAAGCCAGCGCGTGGAGTCTCCAGCAACAAAAACAAAAAAAAATCCTATACCAACCTGTCTGGCCAGCGTGGTAGGCCAAAAGCTTATTTCTAAGGAGAGGCCAATGTCCAGCAGTGTACTATTAAAGGCTGTCGATGATGAATCATAGGCCAGACATACGGGTAAGTGGCCCCGGCTTCTGAGATGTACTCCAATCCTTCTGTCCGTACTTCTGACCCCAATTTCACTTCCCTATCCGTAAAAATGAAGTGTTTGTACCAAACATTATTAAGAAATGGCATTAAATAATATAACATAAATTATTGTGTTACAAAAACATTAAAATTTATAAAAGACAAACTAATTTATTCCCAGTCATAGTAAATATATTCATTCAAATAATCATTGATGAAAGTTATAAAGTGAATTTTGAAGCACTTTCTTATTTACATAGGCAATATTGAAAAGGTCAAAAAGCACTAAAGTATGTTTGTTATGTAGGTAAATAGTAAAAGTAATAATCATATTCGGTAAAATTCTACATTATACTATTTGTATACATAATGAAATACCCCTTGTCACCATTACCATCAAGTCTTGTTGTAGTGGGGTCATTATTTATCAATAAACACGAAACGCACCCCTCCCCTTTGAATTAGGTTTATTAATTTTGAGTATAGTTTTAGTTTGTCCCCTTGGTCAAATAAAAAACAAATTTTGACTGTTTTGGGATGACAAACAGAAAATAGGGTATGCCCTTGTCAAAAAAATAATTTAGACCATTACTTAAGAGTCCTATAAATCATTCTAATGCAGTTTGTTTTTGTTTCGTTCTATACTGCATTTTATTACTAGGGTTTCCTATGGGTTTTCAGGTTTGGAGGTGCGTTTATGTAAAGAAAGCGATTGCGCTATAAATGAATGACGAACTTCATAATGACAGATAAAGAAACGGCGGTATGTGTACTACTTAGTGATATGAATCACAGATTAATGATAATAATGATTAGAAAGATAAAACAACACTGCAAATAATGGTATTGGCAGTATATTCGACAGATGCAGACAGTGCAGATAAATGTAATGTTGCTAATGTATATGCATACTTATACTTTTAAAATCAAAAACAAATAAAACAAACAATTTGGTGTATCAGATGGTACATATTTATTTTATCATTCTACGCTATATATTTTACTATTATACATGCGAAAGTTTATTTAATTTCATCCATCAACATTCTTAACATCTGACTCATAGGACATTTAAAGTTTACAGTTAACAGGTTTTGTTAAACCTTTATAGAATAAGAACAATTAAAATCAATAAAAAGCGCAAGAGCGTGTCAGACCACGCAGTGAAGGATTCCGTAAGTCATTACTACCCGTTTTAAATAAGCATCAACTGCAACTAAGTTATTTCTTTCTGTATTTTGTTTTTTTTTTAAATGTCAAGAATACACCTTTTATAACTATTGAGATATTTTTCCTATTTAGTCTGTTATTTACGAGTAGGTATGAAATTTTAGGTATTTTTTGCAGATATTTCAATATTTTAGCTTGCAGGGTCCCCTTGGTATTACGATATACTCGTAGCTTGTGGTGAAACTATAAGGGTTCCTGGCTAGGACTACGGAATCCTAAAAAAATAGAAGACTACTTATTTAAAGAATTTTTAGAGTGAAACCTAATGAAAGTACTGTGATAAATTTTCGTGTTGACAATTTAATATTTACTGTACTTTATTAACGTAAGGAAACTTTTAGAATGATCTGATTGATACATAAACAGTGCAAGATGTAACATTGACTTGAAATCTAATATATTTCTTGTTTAGTTTCTTAAATAAGTAGTTGCTTACGCTTACATGTAAAGCACTCGTATTTATAATAAATAATTTCACACAAAAATATTGCAAAACACAGCACACCCATGCAAGCCAGGCCGTAGAAACATGCGCAAAGCATCGTCATATCCAATGGATGTACCATTTCATTTTTATTGACTTCCTGGTGCAGTGTTACAATATTGTTATATCTAATTTTCTCAACGATGCCCGATTCCACCAGACGATTGATGACAGAATCAACTAATTCAGCCGCTGGCCAACCACGGCGCATGAATAAACAAGCACTAGCGCTACTAACTTGGGTGTCTAAAATTTGATAAGAATAGCGATTGTGGCCAATGAAAAATGTATCTGTTGCTAACAAAAACCTTGCTCCTCTACCAATATGTTCTAAACACTTCAGTAAGTCAAGTAATCCCAATATTTTAAAGTTCTGTTCTAAAGGTGTATCTCGGTAATGTTCTATTATAGTTGCGGATCCACCGAATCCATTAACTCTAGTCACTGCCTCTTCAATAGTAGTAAAAGGCGGTTCTAGAAGCTCTGTCTGAAGAAACTGAACTAATTCGCCCTGATATGCAATACGAATTAAAAAACAAAACCAAACCCAAATTAAAAATAAACTATTGAGCAATAGTATTTTAGTTTCATAATTAATAGTTTGGCCCAGTAATAATGCAAACGCTTGATAACTGATGCTTTTCTTTTTATCTACGTTACCATTTTTGCGTTTTCTTATCAGTACTGCTACCGATACAAAAACAGCATATGTTAAATAAAGTACTGGTGTAATTACAGTCATGAAAGGTAACATCAGTTTTATCCCATCATGCATTTCCCTTCGTTTTGGTCCAATCCATCGAATATCTAAAGTGTGATAAATGTGAGACGCTTGAGCTGCTGCGTATCGGCTCAGTGTCAGCATTCCAGCTGGTATTAGTATATCAGCTTTATTGTACACCAGATCACTAAAACCGCCTGTTGCTCTTCCTTCTATGAAAGTGCCATATGTATTGTTCCATTGTCCCTCATTTTTTATAGCAAGTTGTACATCCAATGTAGCATTCAAGTACTGGGCTATATGTGATAATGTTATCCCGTCGTAACCTCCGATTCTAGTAATAATACCATTCTCAGTGTCTATATCATCTGGGTCCGCATATGGTAGAAAGGGCAGTGCTCTAAGCCTGATAGGGCATTTATTGAAGTTTAGAAACTTGTTTGGAAACATATTTTGGCCAGTATTTATTTCTATCGGTAAGTCATTATCACACATTCCATTGCTGTATGGACAGTAGGTTGAAATAATCATTTCATCATTGTAATTTTTACATAATATTACTATGTTGACAAGTCCATTTTTCCATGCTATTCTTGTGAACACTAAGAGATCCATAAGTTCACTTATAGGCTTTTCCAAAATAAGCACAAGTTTTATATGATATTTTACATATTTATTTACAAGAGATATAAATTTTTCAAATGTGTCTGGTTCGGATGTAAAAAATATCGTCTGTGAGTAACCAAATGTTTTTACTGTTTCAAAAATCACATTGGTATTGTTATGAAACAGGGGCGTGATCACTACAGAGCCTTCGTATTTTCTTAAAAAAATACTGATTTCTTCTGAGTTATTGTCTGTCCAAATCACAGACGTTACCGATTGATGTTCGTAATATTTGCTGGTTATTTCGACAGCACTTTCTACTAACTCAGATCGTGTGTTAAGGTTAGCAGATACGATGCTATAGAAGCCGAAAATAAAATAGTAATCCATTGTGTGATTCACGATGAACTATGTTAGTTACTGACAGTCGTGATTGCTTTTTATGGTATTCTAAATAACTTCTGTTTACACGGCACGGGCATTACTTAGTATATCATCCAAATAACTGTAATCATTGCAGGTCGAGAATTATTTATTAAATTTTCTTAAGCACGTTAATGCATGGTAAAAGTAGTTAACAACAAAAATACTTGAATTCTATAGGGTACAATAAATAATAATAAATCTACCAAATCGGTTTTCATGCGTAACATTGTAAAAGGGTCTCTTAATGGCCTGTTGCCTAGAGAGTGAGTGAGATTAGGTAGTTAGCAGTTAGGAGAAGGGGACTCCTAACTCTGAGAGAGAGGATTCCAAGGGCAGGATTGCAGATGACCCTTCTAGTGAAATCCATAAGTAGTGAGATTTATTTATTTCATCTATTTTGCTATTGAAGTTAACAGAAAGTTCGCTGGTGAACCTATCTCTTAACTTAAATCAGTTACATATGACTCTGCTAGGAGTATGGCACCACTAAACTTGGGGTAAATGGATGGCATGGACGTACCCACAGTGGGGCAAGGTTGGGCGGGTGCCCCACCCTCCAATCTGACGTACACCCAGTTTTTTACGTGATGAAAAATTTGAAACATTTCATGAAGGATGCAGTCTAGTTGCAGACTACAGTTTTGGTGTTCTGTATGAAAGAGGATAAAGCTAAAATTGATATTTCGAAATATTTGGTGATGTAACATTCAATTGCCCATTATTTGATTTCTTCTATACACATTGAATTAAGCAATAAGTACTGCTAGTGATCCGGATATTTTAATAACAGCTGTTCAAGGATCTCTCCTATTTCAGTTGCACCGGACGGCCTGAGGGGGTAGTGGTTGTGGTCTCAAGTTTCCGCATTTAGACTCAAGAATGGTCCTTTATGTGTCGAGGACAGGTTGGCTTGGTGAGATAACCAAGGTCCTTCAGGAGCGCAGCAGCCTCTTGGGCAATTTACAGGTTTTTAGGATTGATTCTGTATTAAGTATGATACTAGACCGTTGAGTAGCCACTCACTCGCATTCCGGGATTACGGGGGCGGCAGTTTCTTCTGCTTTCAGATATCCTATGCAAAGAGGACTTTCCGTCGTATCAATGTTGAATAGTTGTCGATTCAAGGCTAGGTGTCCTTATAGTTCCTATAACTATTCGGTTGTCTAGTCTATTAAAATTGATCAGTCTGTAAGTAAGTCGTGGTGAGACTTCAGTTAGCACCAGTTTGGACTGTCTACAGCTAGGTGAGTTTTTCCACCTCCAATTGTGTTCTACACGAGTACTTTGTCTAGCCCAGGGGCAAAGTTGGTTAAAAGGCAATAGCAGAAGTATGGTTAAGCCGGCAGTCAAAGTTGCAGAGGCCCAGGCTTATCTGCGTCGTCGTCTCATACACTATAATCCATTAAAGGAGGCCTCCAGTGCTTTTAGGACGGATATGCTGTCTGACAGTATTCGGATGCCACAGTCCTTAATATTTTTTTAAATATTTCCTATTATGGCGGCGTAAGTTATTGCCACGCATTCGCATTGAAATATGGAATTGTGTTTAGCAGTATTTTAGGTCCTGTGAGAAAACTCCGATTTCTGTTCCAGACCCAGTCTTGGAACCGTTCGTGTAGATTCGGACTTAGTTTATGCCGGATTGATCTCAGTCATATCCACGTATCTGAATGTGTTATCCCTTTGTGAAGATATGATGTTATGTGATCCTAATGACGCCACTATTAGTGGTTGGTATTCCACTAATTGATCCTATAATTTGAAGTACGAAGTTTGCAGGGTTCGCACTGCCACAGCGCCATGTTTCTGAGTCTTATGGTCGCCATGGCTGCTTATTGCAGTATATACAGGTTCAGTGAAGTCAGACTGAGTCATCTAAGTGCGGCTGTTGGCGTTGTGCGCATAGAGCCAGCAACCGCGGAGCATGGGAGTCATTGGAATTGCTGCAGTTTGTTTATGACGATGCGATATGATGTTCTGTAGAGCCATAGCGTAAACTTTGGTGATAGTTCGCAGCTTTTGCCGAGTAGCCGTTTGCATTAGCAGAAAATGATGCAGGCTTTGTTTAGTTTCTCTTTGACCTCTTTGTGTAAGAGCCAGTTAGGTTTCAAATAGTTTGAGAAGTCCAAGATTTCCTAGGCTACGTTTTTTGTCCACATGATCATATCTACTTTCGATGCGTTCACCATCAAATTGTGTGTTACACACCACTGTTCAACAATCCTCAGCAAAGAACTCATTTGATCGCATATCACGCTCTCAAAGGGATCACTGATGAGGATATTCAGGTTGTCTCACTAACCTACTATGAGAATTCTACGATCGTTGAACTATGTTATCAGTTCATACACAACATAGTTCCATAGAATAGATCGGCCCGAGGAGGTTTCCAACATTTTATAACGTTTTTCTGAGGCTGGGCAAAAAGACATTCGCCGTTACAAAAGACCTTCAACCTCAAACCAAAATGTGTCACTATGTTCAGTACTGCCATTATTAATATATAATTAATTGCGCAAACTTAATGCATCTCCTGAACGTTTTGGTCTAATTATCACAAAATAAAAAAACAGTTAGAACCAGAATAGCTCTTTTTGTTCTCTACGTTGAGAAAAAACTTGGCTGCGATCGACAATGACAGAAAAGCTTCGGCATAATGAGTATGCACAGGAAGAGGGCTTCTAGAAGCACAAAATAAAATTATTAACGAAATTATAAACAGGTTTTGCCAAAATCAGGTACATCACGTTATTATTAAAATAAGGTTAGAAGTAAATGGTATATTAAATTCCAATCATTTGTGTAGTTTTCTTATATTTGCCCCACCCCTAACTAAATGCTGCGTACGCCCATGATGGATGGTAGGTAACTTGTCGAGCTTGTTCTTACTAAGACTGCTACTCACACTCTTATTTTCCTTAACAATAGAATATTGATCGACAGCGCTTCCCTCTAAAAGTAACTCATAAGAATTAGGTTCAAATTCATTTATCTCGGTCAACTGTGATTCTATAACTTCAGTAAGTAATTCGAATTGTAATTTAACATCGCCATACTGTTCGAATCTTAATGATTCGTCTGTGCAACTCGGCGATATTAGTGGAAGTCAATGAAGGAACATATATAACCCATTTAGTAAGGTGAACAACATAATTAACACTGTAATGACTTTAATTTCGAGACTTAACACCAATAGCCTTTCTATGACATGATGTAAGTTTCGATTTTAAATCTTTAATTTAACTATTAATCCTGTTTCCAATTACTTCATCTTCAATTTTGTTCTAATAATCTTTTCGAAGGACCATGTAACGGAGTGATTGGTTGACAGATTTTCAATAAAACTTAAAGTTAACTTGAGCTGCAATTTAATGTAAATCCTGAACGTGCTATAATTATATAAATAGGCGTTTCTCAAAAATCATACATTTGCAACAGAAATTGCATTATGAAATACCTCAGTATGTTGATATTCCTTTAACTAAAATAATTTTATATTTTGGTATGACAATCAAAATTGTTAAAATTTGAATAATAAAGGGATTCGTATTTTTTTTAAATTCTACAATTGAGTGTTATATTGGACTATGTAGTTCGTGTTATATTTCGGATTTTAAATATTTTCCATCGTATTTACACTAAATGAGAGGAGGACCATTTATGTCTTTGTAATTAGTCATCATCATATAAACAGCCTATAATAGTCAACAGCTGGAGACATGCCTCTCCTTAGAAAGGAGGTTTTGGCCTACTATAACACGCTGGCCAGACGGGTTGGTATAGGGATTGTTTCAAGTGTTCCTTCTTATTGCAGTGCTGGTGTTCTGTGCAGTTTGTTCCCTTAGTCGGCTCTTACGACATCCACGGGATGAACAGGGGTGGTGACATTCCGTATTCTTAATTTCTCACCACACGGATTCTGTAATTATAAAATCTTTTGATACGGAACTCAGTAAAGTGGTAAACTCCATTAGAACTATCTAAACACATTCGAGGTTTATTAGATATATGTCAATATTAAGTTATCTAAGTATTCATTAATCATTTTATGAATAAAGCAAAGAAATGTTCAATTTATTAATACATTTTAGGCCGCCACAACTACTATTTGTACAAATAAGAACAAAACATTATATAAACCTATATATCAATGGAAAAGTTCAACCACGAAAAGTACTTTTATTAGAAGCGCTTCTGGTTTTCTTTTGAGTGGCACTTTATGGAAATTCAAAGCCAAATTTATCGGATTTATCAAATTCCTTAAAATTATTTGTGTACATAACTATAGATTTAAAACTTACATACAGTTTTAAAGTTTTAATAGCGTCAGGTAACACGAGTTTGCCAAGCAACATCTGTTTGCAAACATAAGTCATTAAAAATATTTTACCACGAATGTTAACAAGATATTGAAACTCTCATCTACAGGGGGAAATGCATATTTTTAGTACATGGTTTCAACCGCAATTGTTAAGTGGTCTTCTTACTTTACGATCGTAAAATACAAATGTGACCACACTTTTCTGCGTTGTCACATGTTATAATAAAACGACTGAACTTAATGAGTTTTTCTAGTTCCTTTATAACACAGAATAGTTAAAAAGAAAAAGAAAGATCGTTACATAATATGTTGAAACACCTGGAAATTTCAAATTTAAATGAAATGAATATATTTTATCAACGTAGTGATTTTTCATTGTTATGGACATACGGTATTAGTTATTGTTGTTTTGATTTTCTGACCTGACTGATTATCAAACATCAGGGCTCATGTACCTACCAATGTGTGTGCAATCTAAAATTTGTTCTTCGAATATCCATAGGAAAAATAAGAGTAACCGCTTCTGTATGTTGTGTGGATTGGTGTCACTCAAGTTATGAAGTACTGGACACCAGATTACCAACTAAAGATTACTTGATAGAGATTTTCGATCATAATTCATTTCTTGTTCATTTTATTGGTCAATATGACACGATTGGCGTGTTTAATAAGAACTCTCTTTCTCAATTTAGGAGCCAAGCCCTTGCCGGTGAAGCGATCCCCACTCTTCTCTATCCTTTGTTGTGACATTTTCATTGCTCCATATTAGAAGAGTATTATAGTGTTTTGGTTTTTCCCACTTGCCTTCCACACCGCAGTGCAGTAGCCTTGGTTGCCTGCCTACTGTTATCCGGTCAAGAGATTGCAGGATTTTATAGGCGTGTTTTTCCTACAAAACACCCCACCACCTGGTAACCTAGCCGCTGTCGGTCGGGCACTGCTTATTCAGTATATTCGCAGCTAACCACCATATCTGGTGGCCATTCACTATCTGCAATCTGTGACCCCGTTGGTAGCCGACAGCTCAGCCCGAACCCACTAATAAGAACTGTGTTAACAATATAATATGTAGACTTCGTATAATTGTGTAACATGAGCAATTCGCTACGAGGCACCTTCTAATGATTTATTATTTGCAATAATTAAATATTTTTCAATTTTAATTTTTTTATTATCACAACAAAACTATACAATGTAAATAGATAATACAGAAAAGGAGGTGTATGAAAGTTATAGCTTAAAAAATATTTATTACATCTGGTTTTTTTTTTCATATAAATAGCATTCATAAAATTCACATACAACATTTAGACATAAGTTAGGTAATAAATTATCTTCGGTAGTACACCGTACATTACAACTATGAGAATAGATCAGCTTGGATGTTGCAATTCACGAATGCTCATCAACACTATTTCAATATTACACAGGTACACGTAGCTCATTACAAAGTATATTTATTTTAAACTTGACATTCTAGCGGAGATTCCCATTATCACCGGTCATTATATCAATTATGGTTTACGTATAGTTTCATAATGAGGTAGTTGGAAGATAACTATAATATTGGATGGTTTTGTTGATGGTCATTTAAAACTGCAGATTGTAACAATGTAAACATACTATCACATTCTTGTAATATTGTTACGAGTGAACGTAGCATAGAGTTTCAAGGAACATTTAGTATACGTTTTCTAGACCGTGAAATAACGTAAGACCTGTTCATAGCTCGACGGCGTTCGTGAATTACAAGAACTTATAACAGAGTCATTTAAGGGTGTTGCGCTCCCCGTACAAAGTTATTCACTACTAAAATAATGCAGCAATTAAATAACATCATCACTTGTAAGAAGTTTGTGCCTTAAACAACAAATGAACTAGTTTACTTATATTCATAAAGTGGAGTAATTACTTCGATGCATAAATAAGTCATCATCTATATTTTTTCCTATAAAAGTTTACAGTAGCAAAGCTTTATAAAAGGCACATCAAATTCGTATTTACATACTGTCAGTAAGCACACCTTTACAAATATGCTTCATTAATAATCTTTATGTCTATGTATGTCGAGCAAAAACATTATCAAAAAGAAATACATTAATTCATAGCCTAGCTTAAAATATGTAGAGTATGACCACATACAAAAACACACTGTACATGATATGAAATGAAATTATCACCTTACTTTCCAAATTAAATACGACTTAAAAATTGTAACAATAACCGAAGTAGAGAATTTACTGTCTAAGCGTTATAAGTGGCCACACTTTGGAGTGCTAAGAGCAAATTTCACACAGTATAAGCTTATTTAATTCCTTTTTTTCAGTGAACCGATGCGATATGTCAAAAACTGCACTCTCCTAGAATTATGAAATCGCACTCAGCACTCATTCCTCCAAGATTCGCTTTAACCCCCACGTTGAGTAAGTACGGCATCTATCAAGAGCACGGCTCCATTGATAATAGCAAGTGATGCCTTTGCTAAGTTTTTGTCTCTCATTTCGCTCTTACTATAATGCTGGAACCTGAAAGTAAATAGAATTATAAATTCACACAATCATTATAGTCTTGTTAAACACTGAACCATAACGGTTTGTTCGTTTCTCAATCACAAACATCACCACCCTCTGCAATAGAAATCGATGCAAAGATTTTTTGGTTCTCAGAGAGTAAGGACAGTTTCAGAATTTCATTTTGGTTTTGTTGTCCGTCGGTGCAGTATAGTACATACAGTTCAATCCCAGACAAAAAATATCGTACCTTGTAAATAGATCAAATACCAATCTTCATTCAACTATATTAACCAACTATATTCTTATAAAACAAAACCCCTAAAAATGCCTGACTGCAGGGGTTTTCTTAATAAAAACCCTACGTAACGTTGCCTCCATTCCCAGAACACCAACTTCCTACTATACGAGAACTGAACTTCAAATCGGCTCGATCGTTCGGTTTGCTATGGGCCCGTACTGAAATCTTTCCCAATCTCAACGCTGAACGCGCTCGCCATCGAGAACGAGTTGATGTGAAATAAACCCACACTAAGCCCTCTGAAGCGCATAATACCAGAATCAATACGCACCTGTCGATAATGACAGCACCACTGGCAACAAACAGTGCGACTCCGACCATCGAGTAGAAGATGTCGATACGTTTGTGCGAAGGTGTCTGCATGATGTAACCTGAAACATGACGTAATTTTCCATTAATAAAGATTAGAGATTTCCTGGTGGTCGAATTTCGACCATAATTAATTAAGATTTTAGTGTTTTGATTATAATATCATCGCCTGAATTAATTTAAACTGTCATGGTATGTTGTTGTTGTTTTATATTTTATAAACTTATAACATTGATTAAACCTTATCTTTCTAGATTTTTCCTACATTATATGAATGAAATAACAAGGTTAATAAAAAAAAGCTTATAAAAAGAGTACAAAGAAATCTCTTCACATTAACACATAGTAATTTGACTTAGTGTTATTAATTTAAGTAGTAACATAAGAAATTGTAGCGGGTATTTGGAAACGTATTTGAACCATGCTTTATATATCACTGTAATTATCATGCTACTGAAAGTACGGTTTTATTCGCATATTTGCATTGTTCTTTTTTTATGATTGATGATGGGGGAGTTGATAAAGACATTGCTGCATAAGACTACTCAGCTCAAATTTTCAAGATATTTGACTACAACTGGCGAAAATCGATAATTATTTAGAGGACTCTATTATTGCTGCTTAGTTCTTATAAAGTGCATACTATAAATATGGACTGTATAGAAGACTAAAGAAATATGTCTGCTGAAAGTGAGTGGCGTAAGAGCTCTGTAGGCTGAAAATTGTACAGCAGTGATGGGCACTACCTACACAAAGATATTAAAGCTGATTTCATCTCGGCTACATGCTAATACGTTTTGAGTGTCATGTCCAGATTAGTAGCGAGTGTCCTTTAGTCAGTACACAATAAAGTATACTAAAATATGTATTTTCGTCAATAATTTAGTAAGCAGAACGAACCTGCGGCAGCTCCTGCAAAGATGATGAGGTATCCGATGAAGGTACCAGTGACGAGCATGCCGATGTCCGCATCAGCATTGTAACTGTGGTAGTGTAACGCTACACAGGAGCATGTAAGGGCCTGGAATGAAAGAAATTGTAGCTTTAGTCCACAGTAAAGAAAAAAGCCAATAACATAAGGTAAATCTTGCCGGGGGTACCAGAACTTGACCAGTGTAATAATTTAAGAAAATGCTATTGTAGTTACATTATAAAGTTTTCATTATATATTTATAACCAACTTCAGTCCAATACATTCAGTCAAAGAAGTATCGGGAATGGATGATTTGGGTTTACGAGTTTGACATGCAAACTAGTGAACGAGCTTCGGAGTGGCGCCTTCCAAGTGAACCGAAACCGAAAAAACCACGCCAAAGTCGATCAAAAGTCAAAGTCATGTTGACTGTTTTCTTTGACTATCGCGGTGTTGTGCACTCAGTATTCTTGACGGAGGGTCAAACGGTAAATAAAGAATATCATTTGAGCGTTATGCGGCATTTAAGAAAGCAAATTCGACGAAAAAGGCCAGATTTGTGGAAAGAAAATTCTTGGATTTTGCACCACGATAATGCGACTTCGCACACGGCCATCATTGTGAACGAATTTTTGACCAAACACTTAACAAATACCATCGAGCAACCACCATATTCACCAGATATGGATCCAGCCGACTTCATTCTTTTCCCTAAACTCAAATTACCACTTCGTGGCACCCGTTTTCAATCGGTAGAAGACATAAAGGAGAATTCGCGGCGACAACTGTACTCAATTCCGGAAACAGCGTTTAATTGTTTTGATGATTGGATTATTCGTTGGCGTAAGTGTATCGTTTCTGAAGGGGCATACTTTGAAGGTGATAAAATAAATTTGGATGAATAACAAACATTTTATGTATTATTGATCTTTTCCCGGTACTTTCTTGACAGAGTAGTACTTTTATTACCAACTCAGGTAACTTTTAATCTTAAAGCGTTTGAAGTAAAAACCTTATTAAATAAACACAGCTCACTTTAATAATCAAAACCTATATTTTCTTTTGCAAGACGATATACCTATTGATACTCCCATATTCACATTCACTTCTGTGAAATCCAAAGTATTCTATAAATGACGTCAATCAATTCATTTGCTCAGTAAAGTGGTGACGTAATACGTATAGCATAGAAACCACCAGGAGCATGATGTCATGCGACACACCACTGTGATCGCCTTCATAATGCTGTCGAGGCCATCCGCTAAAGACCTTGTCTTTGAGGATGGAAGTTTAAATGAGGACAAGTGTGACGACATATTTCTACATTTGACTTAGTTAGGCTAATGTTGTCCTCAAATTGTCTTGCAAATGGCTTGTAAATGTTGTCCTTAAATTCTTTATGAAGTATTTTTATTGAAAGCGATGAATGCTTGTTAACTATTTAGATTCATTAAACATTACTACAGCAGTTAATAACAAACTTTGTCTGTCTGTTTTGTCATAACCGTCTTGTGATAAGAGAGGTCGTTAAGTTATGCTAAAGATAGTTAGAAAAGATAGATAGAAACACAATGCTTATGCTATTACCTCGGGTTTAATTCAATTGAAAACGTAACGAGAAGTCGTTGTGATGTAAGTATTTAACAAATCTTAATAATATTATCAAAATTCGGTAATCAAAATTGATAGACCAGCAGGTCTATCAATGCTAAAGCAGTATTTTATTCATAGGGTACTGTAAATTAAACAAATTCTTTTTAAACAATTATTTTAATTCCAATTAAGGTGAACAGTTACTTATTATAGATTTATTTAATCATTAATATACTTTATAGTAATCGATAGGAAACCTATCATTTACCCACAACGTAATGTGATTAACAGGGAAATTTAAGAACCGTTAACAAATAGTCTCTGTACAAAATGTCTTCAAAACCATGTTGCGCAACAACAGACGTAGAAAAGATGGGATTTTAAAGAAAAAAATACGATATACCTAATATCTGATAGATATTTTGCTGTACTCTCATTTTTTTTTATACTTTTTAAAAATTAAGAACACCATGATATTATTTAACTTAAGAATCTAACGCACACTATTCACAGTATGTGTGTATTTTATTAATTTATAATAACAATTTAGGTAGATTTGATGACCATGACTTTGATTTATTGCTTACACTCCCTAATCCATCCGCTTAAGCAATATCCTCTGATACAGGCGTAGTTTTGTGTGTGTGTAATGTTACAAAACTGTATGAAGTAGGACTTATAATTAATAGTACTATTTATCATTGTACGTGTTCAAAATTTTTATGAACATACTTTTAGCCTTGATGTAAGAACATTAGGTAATCTGTATTCTGATTCGCACAAACAAATCGGAAGGCCATTGTTCCAAACACCGTGACTCATCCAGATTTTAATAAATATTAGTCATACTATTTGATAATGTTTCTAAATAACACGTCCTGGTATATTCGTATGTCTCTCACAGATGTGCATTATTTACTAGCGGATTATATATCAGCAGATTCGCTCGCATTGATATCGATTTTGTCCATCATTAAAACGAATTAATTAACATAGATTAATTTGATCCAAATTCGTACACTTGTTCTGGCGCGATTAAAGAACAAACATCATCAAACTTTCATATTTAGAATAGTAGTAAGATAGCAAAAAATGTAGCTAATAAGTGTATGATTAATCTATTCATATTTGTTTATAAAATTGACATAAGTTTCGTAAGAAACCTTCAAATTTCGATCATATCTCTTAGTTTCCGGTCAAATATATCGCTAAAACGTTAAATACATTAACCATCAACTGTGTGTACATATGTGCGTTCCCATTTTCATTAATTTAAAGACTATATCAAAGGATTTGTTGGTCTCCTAATCGTATTTTGTTCAAGTCTTTGAAAATGGAGCAGGTGTAGTCGCTCGCCACGTAAACAATCGAATAACAGGCAGACGAAGGCCGTACAGCCATATAAAATGAGGGATTTGGTTTCTTTCCGAGTTTATATTGACAGAATTGTATAATTTGCACGTTTAAGTCCCACAGGCTAATATTTTAATTGTATTACGGCTCAGTGGTGTATATATTGATACACCACTGTGATTGACATGCTTATTGTTAAAAACGACTTTTTCAACACTCACAGATCCAAAAAAAATTGTTTATACAGGAAAACTTGAAAGACAATTGTTATAGATAAGTGCATGATCTCATTATTTTTTTGACCTATTTTTATTATAATATTTACCGCTTAGCTAAAAATGCAAAGAAGCTGTTTTGCGAACCTTGACATTGAATTTTTTTTTTAATGTGGGATCGATGGGGACCTTGCACAAGTCATTAATAATGGTGTCGCCAACATTTGTATTAATTTATATTATCAGTTATATGCGAAGCATTGTAACCGTGTGACAGGACTATAAAATCATTTTACTAATTAATAGGTACAAAATTTCTTGTTTATATTGTTAGGTACGCAAATTTTATTCTGATAAATGTTTTAGTTATTTTTAGTTAATAACTATTAATGAGTACACTGATTAAATGGCCATAATGCTGCAAAACGAGGTTAATGGCGTCTACTTTAGTTTTAAAAGTGAGCGACCTTTTATTTAATTATAGTATAGAACAAAGTTAGAGAACCGAATGCCACTAGTTCGTAAATTGCAAAAGTTTTGGTCTCTAGTCGATATTTGTATGTAATGGTTCAGATTATTGAATAAAATAATAAGGAGAAAGACGGGAATTAGTTTCAAATGAACTTGAAAGTGTCCTAACATCTATTTCGTGATCTTTTTATTATAAATTAGGAAAAAGGCATTTCATATTTATTAAAAACTAGCTTCTGCCTACAGATTTGCTTGCGTGGATTTAATTATTCAATTCAGTTATCCCCTAGGAACAGTACCTACATTCTTTTTCTTTAAGAAAATACTGCATTTTCCTAAGACACGAAGGTGACACAAACGAAACTTACTTTCACGTTTATACTCGTAATATTATCGTTAGAATATACTGACCCTTACTTTCTATGCTTTCTATGTCTAAAATGGATTGGCATCCCCGATATGGACACATGAGCAAAACCGTATACCATTAGTAGATACAAATCTTATGGTGAACAGTGTTGGTTATGTTAGGGAAATATTAAACACAGTGTATGAAAGTAATCGTTGTTTTCATTCGAAGTTGATACGCCGTAGGTACATGTTGTGAATCGAACTAAACGGTTCTATAAACTGTCCCAGAACTAGCCAAGGGTTTCCGATAAAAAACCAACTGGCATAGCGCATAATTAAATAAACAAACGCATTACACTAAGTACAAAGAAAATATGTGGCAAAATTTCTAACTTAAGGTTCATTATAAATTGGTAGTCTGTCTACATCAAGGACTCTCATACGAGTATATATAATAGCTTTATATATACAGAACGACCTTGGACAATTGTTACTTAATGCAAAGCCTTTGTGTGTCACTTACATCCAAGGAATTATATTGGAAAGCTACCAACGTTTGTCCTAGCAACGTTAGACCTACATACAATATGTATTTACAAAACAAACAATAGAGCAACAACAGGACATTTTATGAGTCAGGATATTTAAAAATACTGTTTCACTACTTAGGTACGCATTTACACTAGCAATGTTCATGTAGTCATGACCGTGAAACATACTTTCAAGGACTAACAAAAGAATGCTACTATTTCTATCAGTTGTTATGAAAATGAAATATGTTTCTACTCTGTGTCATTACTTATCGTGATGAGGGATGAAGAATACAGTGTCACCTCCCCTATTTATCCTGTGGGTGTCGTAAGAAACGACTACAGGAGCAAAGTACGCAGGACAACAGCAATACAAAGAGAAGGTAAACTTGAAACTCTATGTCTGGGCAGCGTGGTATAGTAGGCCTAAATTTCCTTTCTAAGGAGCGGCCTATGTCCAGCAGTGGACTAGTACAGGCTGTTGATAATGATGATGTGTCACTTCTACTTCACATAAATTCAGTCTTCGTCTTGTTTGTCTAAAAACAAGTTGCTTAGATCATTTTATTGATTCAATCTTACATCAACAAACCAG